TTAGGGTTTAGGGTTTAGGGTTTAGGGTGGACGAAGAGCTGAGTGCCCTTCATCGACCCTAAGGACTTTTTTCCGCGGCTACACCACCAACTAGGATGCCCAGTAGTGCCCTTATTCCCTTTTTGGGGGGTTTAGGTTCCCCTATAAACCCCTTTAAGCAAAAAAGGGCACCCTTTTAATCCCAGGTTACTGGGCAACCCAGACCAAGAGGGACCTGTACTCGGGAGAGCGTACCAAGTCTCGGAGGAGCTCGTCACCGATCCGTCCTCGATGTCGGCTCCGACGGGATAAACTCCCGACCCTGAGCCCCTAAACCCTAAACCCTAAACCCTAAACTCTAAACCCTAAACCCTAAACCCTAAACCCTAAACCCTAAACCCTAAACCCTAAACTGAATCCTAAGCCTTGAACATAAACCCCAAACCCTATATGGTCAGACCCTGAACTGGGGTCCCCTTTTGGGGACCCTAAAAAGGAAGGGCCCTCAAGATAAGGACCCCAAAAGGGACAATACTTTAGAGAACTGACCATATCCCCAAACCCCAAACCCCGAACCCTAAGCCCTACTCGTTTCAAGAAGCTGAGAGCCCCACCCTTCTTGGGAATTGATCTTGGACCCACAGGTTGTACCCTTTGGTTTGGGCCCTGAACCCTAAACCCTAAACCCTGCACCCTAGACCCTAGACCCTAGACCCTAGAGCCTAGACCCTAAACCCTAAACCCTAGACTCCCCTGAACCCTTCCCTGGTGCGGAGGGCCCTGTGCAGCGCTTACGGAAAGCCCTCTTCGCGAAGTTGTGCTCGGACAAGGCTGGTACGGTTTAGGGCTTAGGGTTTAGGGTTTAGGGTTTAGGGTTTAGGGTTTAGGGTTTAGGGTTTAGGGTTTAGGGTTTAGGGTTTAGGGCTTAGGGTTTAGGGTTTAGGGTTTAGAGTTTAAGGTTTAGGGCTTTTAGGGCTTTCAGGGTTTTTAGGGCTTTTGGGGCTTTTAGGGCTTTTAGGGCTTTTGGGGCTTTTGGGGCTTTTGGGGCTTTTAGGGCTTGTGGGGCTTTTGGGGCTTTTAGGGCTTGGGGCTTTTTGGGCTTAGAGCTTAGGGCTTTAGGTTCAGGGTTTAGGGCTTCAGGTTTAGGGGTTCGGGTTTACCGCAGAAAAATAGACCCCCACAAGCCCTTGGCCCTAAGCCCGATGTTCCTACATCCGACGCGCAAGAGATTCCCCCAAACTGCAATCTGCGGGTTTCGCAAGGGTATTTAATATTCTTGGGTATATGAGGTACCTCTCTTTTTTTCTGAGAATCAGTCTATCAGTAACATAGGCTTCTCATTCCTATCAAGACACTGCGAAGCAAAAATCTCCTTGCGCCTCGGTTGGAGGGTTTGAGCCGGGTGTTAGGGTTACTTGGAGGTTCATGGTACTTAGCAAGCCAGTTATAACTTCTATAACCCTATTAGGGTACCTATGATACTCTGCCCCCCGCTGGTTTCGTGGTGGGCCTCGGGCTTAGGGTGTATGAGATCACCCCCCCCCCCCCCCCCCCGGTGGCTCATGGTTGGCCTTCCCCTGTGGTTCATGGTCTGTGGTTCGTGGTGGGTTTAGGGTTTAGGGCTAGACTTCAGGGTTTGGTTTTTCCCTGTGGTTCATGGTGGGTTTGGGGCCCCCTAAACCCTAAACCCTAAACCCCCTAAACCCCCTAAACCCCTTAAACCCCCTAAACCCCCTAAACCCCCTAAACCCCCTCCCCCTAAACCACACCCCCTAAACCCCTACCCCTAAACCCCTTAAACCCCCTAAACCCCTAAACAAACCCCCTAAACCCCCTAAACCCCCTAAACCCCCTAAACCCCCTAAACCCCCTAAACCCCCTAAACCCCCTAAACCCCCTAAACCCCCTAAACCCCCTAAAAACCCCCTAAACCCCCTAAAAACCCATAAAAACCCCCTAAAAACCCCCTAAAAACCGCCTAAAAACCCCCTAAAAACCCCCTAAAAACCCCCTAAAAACCCCCTAAAAACCCCCTAACCCCCTAAACCCCCTAAACCCCCTAACCCCCTAAACCCCCTAAACCCCCTAAACCCCTAAACCCCCTAAACCCCCTAAACCCCCTAAACCCCCTAAACCCTAAACCCTAAAACCCTAAACCCTAAACTAAGTGAGGGGTCGCTTCCGTCGAGCGACAGACCCCGAACGCTCGGCTGAGGGCCTTGCAGCCCGAGCGCCCAAGCGAAAAGAGAAACGGAAAGGTGAGGGTTAAGCCTCACTGTCTGTCCTGGACAGGCCAACGGACATCGGCCTTTTTTACGACAACGTCAGTACTCGGCTAAGGGATGGCCGGCACCCAGACCACCTTTAGCGTTGCTGAAGTGAAACCCCAAACGCCTCTCAAAATCGGTTCAGGGTTTTGGGTTCAGGGTTTGCCGGGCGGGGGCCCCCTGGCCCCTGGTGGCTGGATTCCTGGACCAGGAGGCTGGCGAGGGGGTCCAGGCAGGCTGGTTGCTCAATTTCGTTGTTTTGGGATCAAAAACGGTTTTCGAACCCCCTGGGGCGCCTCTCCTGGGGCCTCCGCCGAGGCCCCCGCCTGGTCGGTCTGGCAGAGCCTTTGCGCGGCCCCAGCCGGCAAAGGCGACGTTCGCCAAGGATCAGCGGCGAAGCGACGCCCCCAAAAGCTCGAACCAAAAAGGTGGCCCAGGGGGTACTTCAAAAAGAGGGGGGGGACCCCAGGATTTGCCCGTACCCGCAATGAAAAATGCTAATTTTTAGAAATCGATGGTTTTGGGCGCCCCTCCATTTACCCCACAAGGCCCCCCAACAAAAAACACCAAGAGCCAAAAGGCTTCAAAAGGCCCTGTAAAGGAGGGGGCCCCAGGATTTGCCCGTGCCCGCAAATGAAAAATGCGATTTTTAGTACTAAGCAGCATTTGCTCCAAAAAGGCCAGGAAAGCCCCAGCAAGCCCCAGCAAGCCCCGAGACACCCCAAGAGCCACCAAAAGGCTTCAAAAGGCTTCAAAAGGCCCACTGACATCGATGGTTTTGGGCACCCCTGAAAGCCCCCAAAAGGCTTGAGGCCCTTAAGGAATGGGAATCCAGGAGCAGGCACAAAGGGTTTCCCTGACCTTCAAATAGGGCCTTCGAAAAGGGCCGAGGCTACCCCCAACCCCAGCTTAAACCCTAACACCGCAACTTTAAAGACAAACTCCCGCGACTTGGGACTCCGGGGGTTTCTGGAAGCTGGTGGACCTCTTGTCTCTAGCCGGACGCTCAGGGCTTAAGAGGCTTGGGGCCTACGGGCCCTGACACGCCGAAGGCCCCAAAAGGGCCGAGGCTACCCCCAACCCCAGCTTAAACCCTAACACCGCAACTTTAAAAACATCAAAGCAAGCTTGCAAACCAAACTCCCGCGACTTGAGAAGGGGAACGGGCCCGGACGCGCCGAAGGCCTGAAAAGGGCCGAGGCTACCCCCAACCCCAGCTTAAACCCTAACGCTGCAACTTTAAAAACATCAAAGCAAGCTTGCAAACCAAACTCCCGCGACTTGAGAAGGGGAATCCAGGAGCCGGCACAAAGGGTTTCCCTGACCTTCAAATAAAAAAGGGCCTCTACGGGCCCTGACGCGCCGAAGGCCCGAAAAGGGCCGAGGCTACCCCCGCTTAAACCCTAACACCACAGCTTTAAAAACATCAAAGCAAGCTTGCAAACCAAACTCCCGCGACTTGAGAAGGGGAATCCAGGAGCCGGCACAAAGGGTTTCCCTGACCTTCAAATAAAAAAGAGCCTCTACGGGCCCTGACGCGCCGAAGGCCCGAACAGGGCCGAGGCTACCCCCAACCCCAGCTTAAACCCTAACACCGCAACTTTAAAAACATAAAAGCAAGCATCGGGGCACAGGAAAATACATTCCATAAACCCTAAACCCTAATAGAGTATAGTGTGGGTGGCCGGGGTGGGTTGACGGGCAACGCGAGCGCGCGGCCCGGGGTGTTTCACACCCGAGCGCGCGCCCTCCCCTGACACACCCTAAACCCTAAACCCTAAACCCTAAACCCTAAACCCTATTCACGCCCAAAACACCCCCCCCCCCCCCCCCCCTTCCACACTTTCGAGAGGCCCAACTGCCCCGCAAGCCCGTCAAGCGGACGGACCACCTTGCTCTGGACAGGCCGCAAGGTTTTGTTTTGAGGGTTTAGGGTTTAGGGTTTAGGGTTTAGGGTTTAGGGTTTAGGGTTTAGGGTTTCAGGGTTTCAGGATTTACGGTTTAGGGTTTTGAGGGTTTAGTTTAGGGTTTAATGAAGGTTGAGGGTTTAGGGTTTTAGGGTCTAGGGGTTTAAGGCTTTGGGGTTTAACTAGGGCTTAGGGGTTAGCTCTGGACAGGCCGCAGATTTTTGGTTTACAGCCCAAAGACATTTTTGATATCTGCCATTCAAGGCTCACATGTAAGACAAGCTGTCTGCGCATGTGTGCCGTAGTTGGGAGGTCTTCATCAGTCAGGGTGTTCGTAACCCGGTGTTCCCAACATAGGGGGCAGGCGCGAGCTACTTTACATCGTACTTACATGGTGCCCACATGGTGCTTGCATTGCGCTTACATGGTGCTTACATTGTGCCTACATCGTGCTTACGTGGTGCTTACATGGTACATACACGGTGCTCACATAGCGGCTTCAAGTCTTATCACATGGTGCTTACATTGCGCTTACATTGCGCTTGCATGGTGCTTACATGGTGCTTACATCGTGCTTACGTGGTGCTTACATAGTACATACACAGTGCTGACATAGCGCTTCAGTTCTTATTCACATGGTGCTTACATTGCGCTTACATGGTGCTTACATGGTGCTTAGAAGCTGTTATACTTACAAAACCAAAACTAAGAACCCACAGGCGATTCAAGCGTTGTTCCTGAACTGTTGCTGCTACTTGAAATGTCATGTGAAGATTTCAGGGGATATTCCTCTCAAGCTTGCCATTTGTGGCAGCTCTGCTCTCTGATAATACTGACCTCGCTAAGCATGGCGTTTGTGGATGTGGGGCCATCAGTGGACACCGTCGACCCTTCTTATCCGACTTATCTATGCCTTGAGCTTCCCGGGCAGCCTTGGGACCAGCCGTGGGGAGTCACACCCTACGAGGTGCTCCCCTCACGTCTCAATCGGCTGCTTTACGGCAACCTGACTTTGTCAGAGTCCACGTCCGAGAATGGCTCGGAGGACTATGGGAGTTCAGGGAGTGGAGACGTTGTGGAGTTGAATGGCAGCCCTTCGTCAAATGTGGCGATTAGGCCTCCTCCCGGGCTGAGCCAGGACATCGGTGAAGTGGCAAAGGTTTACCCCTCCCACTCCTTTGGGCACCAAGCCGCAAGATGCCGCAAGATGCCGAAAGATGCCGCAAGATGCCGCAAGCAGCGCAACTTCCAGAACTTCATTTGCCATCATCTTCAAAGGCTACGACCCGGAGAAGCATGCCGCCTTCGAGCTTGTCCCTCGCTTAATCGGCCGCAATGGTGACAACATGAAGAAAATCCATGATCAAACTGGGGCACGCGTAATCGTTTGTGGTCGCGGGAGTGGCTGGATAGAAGTCAAGTCGCCCCACGGCTACTTCGAAAGGGATGAACCGCTCCAGTTGGCTGTTTCGCGCCGTTCGATGAAGATCAGGGAAGCGGCGTCCCAGGGCTGGTTGCGCAACAAGCTTTCAAGTTCTTTGGGCCCTATACAACCATACATAACCCTGTAAGATCTTTAAGCAACCCTTTATATCCCTACATGACCCGCAGAACCTTAATTTGCATAGGGCCCCCCCCCCTCTCCACCACAGGTTCAAGGAGACAATGGTGCTGGTGAAAGGCATCGCGCAGCACTTCCGCCGCTTCTGTCGCCAACAAAAGCTGGACTGTGTGGAGCTGTACGTGGTGCAGGAGACACTGGGGGTTCATCTGGCAACTTGTTTTAGGAACACCGATCACTATGTAATGTAACCCTAGATGCAATGACATAATCCATAGAAACTTCACTTCATGTTCTGAGGGCACCCAGATCCGCCCGTAGAAATTTTGGGTTTGTGGGGTCCATGTTCCAACCCTCCATGTTTAACCAAGGAGATGACCCTCTGGGAGGATGGCCTGCGTGCGGCTTATCCCAGTGTGTCACAGTGTTGGGCTATGATGCGTTTATAAGAAAGCAGTAGCTATAAAGCAGTACGTATAACTAGATTGTGCTGATACATGTCGACAGTACGTGAGTACACGTATCTACTTCTTAATTTCTATTTTCCTTATGTATATTCATACATTTGTATTACATCGCCCAAGTCAATTTTTTGTTTATCTTTGTGCGTGGCTGCCCTTATACGACAATTCCGGAGGAACCACGTTGACGTTCCGATAGAGCTGCGACTCCACGGGGAGTAGTCGCTCCCTGTGGACCCAGCAGCCGGGGCCATTTGTATTTGTTCATGCGTGTACACATATCGACTTGTCAACTTCCACTTTCCTTCTGTATATTCATACGTTTGTATTACGACGCCCAAGTCAATTTTTTGTTTATCTTTGTGCGTGGCTGCCCTTATACGACAATTGCGGCGGAACCACGTTGATGTTCCCATAGAGCTGCGACTCCACGGGGAGTAGTCGCTCCCTGTTGGACCCAGCAGCCAGGGCCATCTGTATCTGTTCATGCGTGTACACTTTTCCTTATGCATATTCATACGTTTGTATTACAACGCCCAAGTCAATTTTTTTGCTTATCTTTGTGCGTGGCTGCCCTTATACGACAATTGCGATGGAACCACGCTGACGTTCCGATAGAGCCGCGACTCCACGGGGAGTAGTCGCTCCCTGTTGGACCCAGCAGCCAGGGCCATCTGTATCTGTTCATGCTAGATCGACAACATGTAGTTGGTTGTGGCGTTGAAACTATCAGACGCTACAATGTTGAATATTCACTGGCCGAGATGTTCTGTCGCGGCTCTTCCACCAGCAATTAGGACTGCGTGCAACGATCAGGTACCTTTTGACAGGGGTGCAGGGCAAGCGAAGCATCGATGGATCCTCCCAGAGCTTGGCAGAACTGTCTGTAGACGTGCAGGGTTAGGGTTTCGGTTTAGTGTTTAGGGCCATTGCCCGAAGAACCACAGAAGCCCTCGACACTTATCCATCGGTGCGATGCCGGATGGCCTGCGCCCATAGAACGACGGAACACCTGATCAAGGGTTCGATGTCACCTGAAGCTACGAGTTGCAGAGTTTTTTTTTTCAGCTGCTCACTTGAACTTAAACCTGCTCCATCTCTGTGGCATTTTGCCTGATGCAAAACGTGGGGTCGTTGGGATGATGTTTGCCAAAGCAACTCACCTCATCCAGTTCCATCTCATTCGGCTCAGTGGTTAACCCACGGCATGAATGGATGCAAGCGAGCAAGATAAACCCGTCACCACGCAAGAAGACAAGGAAAAGAAGGACGCAGCCCTAAACCCTAAACCCCAAACCCTAAACCGGTTTAGGGCTTTAGGGTTTTAGGGTCCATCAAGGGTTTAGTTTAGGGTTTAATGAAGGTTGAGGGTTTAGGGTGTTAGGGTTTGGGGTTTTTTGATTAGGGCTTAACTTTTTAATTCGGGTTTTAGGGTTTTAGGGTCTTGGGGTTGTAGCATTTTTAATCAGGGTCTAGGGTTGAACTAAGGTTTAGGGTTTTTGGGTTGAGGTTCAGGGTTCGCGGATATGGTTCCGATTAAAGTATTCGTGCGTGCATTGTGTGGTGGGCTGTCTAGCTCTGGAGATGCTAGTTCAGGGTTTAGGGTTCGGGCTTAGGGCTTAGGGCTTAGGGCTTGGGCTTAGGGCTTAGGGCTTAGGGCTTAGGGCTTAGGGCTTAGGGCTTAGGGCTTAGGGCTTAGGGCTTAAGGCTTAGGGCTTAGGCTTAGGGCTTAGGGCTTAGGGCTTAGGGCTTAGGGCTTAGGGCTTAGGGCTTAGGGCTTAGGGCTTAGGGCTTAGGGCTTAGGGCTTAGGGCTTAGGGCTTAGGGCTTAGGGCTTATTGGGCTTAGGGCTTAGGGCTTAGGGCTTAGGGGCTTGGGCTTAGGGCTTGGGCTAGGGCTTAGGGCTTAGGGCTTAGGGCTTAGGGCTTAGGGCTTGGGGCTTGGGGCTTGGGGCTGAGGGCTTAGGGCTTAGGGCTTAGGGCTTAGGGCTTGGGGCTTAGGGCTTAGGGCTTAGGGCTTAGGGCTTAGGGCTTAGGGCTTCGGGCTTAGGCGGGGTTAGGGCTTAGGGGTTAGGGCTTAGGGCTTAGGGCTTAGGGCTTGGGCTTAGGGCTTAGGGCTTTGGGCTTAGGGCTTAGGGCTAAGGGCTTAGGGCTTAGGGCTTAGGGCTTAGGGCTTGGGGCTTAGGGTTTGGGGTTTTGGGTTTGGGGTTTGGGGTTTGGGGTTTGGGGTTTAGGGCTAGAATGAGGGGTCCATGCACCTACATCGCACTTACTCGGCCTCTAAAGCTTCTACCGTCAAGGTCCAAGCATGGTGAAGTATACATAGTGACATAGTATACAGATAAATACATATATATATATATTGCCCTTAAACCCTAAACCCTAAACCCTCTTATATCTATATATATATATCTATGTATATATATATATATATATGTCTTTGATAGGGCACATGGGGTTGGAGTGGGATCCCCAAGCCGAAAAAACCCTAAATCCTGAAAGCCCGAAATACCTAAACCTTTGGTTCATGCATCATGGGTTCCCCTGCTACCCCTCTCTATACTACTCCCCCTCGGTCGCAAAAGCTCCTGGCACTGTGAACCCATCCACTGCGCCTTCAGCAGCCTTCCACGGCCGTTTTTACAGCCTCTGAGAGCCTAAGCCCGTGTGTAGCGGAAGAATGCCCCCCACCCTTAAACCGTGAACCCCTAAACCCTAAACCCTAACATCCCCCCCTCCCCCCCCCCCCCCCCAAAAAAAAAAAGACAGAATGAAAAGAACAAAACAACCCTAAACCCTAAACCCTAAACCCTAAACCCTAAACCCTAAACCCTAAACACCCTACACCCGAAACCCGAAACCCTAAACCCTAAACCCTAAATCCCCCCCCCCCAAAAAAAAAAAAATGTGATCCCAGGGGCGCCTTGGACCTGAACGGGGAAGTGCGGCCCCATTCGGAGCGCTGCCGTGGGGACGTTGGGTTTTGTTGAGGTTCAAGCCGTAGGGTTTAGGGTTTAGGGTTTAGGGTTTAGGGTTTAGGGTTTAGGGTTTAGGGTTTAGGGTTTAGGGTTTAGGGGGGTTGGTGTTCTAGGCGGCAGGGCTTGGGACTTGGGTTAAATGGATGGTGGGTTTCGAGGTTTCAGGGTTTGTTGGAGGACAGCACCCTGGGCCCCTTAAACCTTAAACCTTAAGCCCTAAACCCTAAGGCCCTAACCCTAAACCCTTAAGCTTACGGGGTTTACGATGTTAGGGTGCCTTATTTGTGGCCCTGAAAAAAAGGGGATCCTACGTACTATGTGGGGTTTGTATCAGGGTCCCTCTTTCGTAAGACTCCATATATGTCCCTCAGAAACCCTGAAGTTGTTTGGGGTTTAAAGGTGTTGAGGGCTATTTCGGCTCCAGGGCCTTTCCTTCCTAAACCCTAAACCCTAAACCCTAAACCCTAAACCCGAAACCCGAAACCCGAAACCCGAAACCCTAAACCCTAAACCCTAAACCCTAAACCCTAAACCCTAAACGCTAAACCCTGAGCGAGGTAGATGGGCAGTGCTCTAGACTGAGAGCCCTTTCTGAGTAAATGGATGGCTCCATATTATCACGGGAGCCCCAACCGGGCCCCCCCATGATACCCTAAACCCTATAAACCCTAACCCTAAACCCTAAACCCTAAACCCTAAACCCTAAACCCTAAACCCTAAACCCGAAACCCGAAACCCTAAACCCTAAACCCTAAACCCTAAACCCGAAACCCGAAACCCGAAACCCGAAACCCGAAACCCTAAACCCTAAACCCTAAACCCTAAACCCGAACCCTTACACCCTAGACCCTCATCGTTTCTTTTGAATTGGGGCTCCAGGGTGCGAGGTCGAGGAATGGGTTGGGTTCAGGATTCAGGGCTTATGATGCAGGGTTTAGGTCTAGGGTTTAGGGTTTAGGGTTTAGGGTTCAGGATAGGGTTTAGGGTAGGATTCAGGGTTTAGGGTTTAGGTTGTGGGTTACGTTGCCAAGCTCTACAAGATTCCCAACCCCAAGATGTTTACGAAGCCTCCCCAAAGCCATGTTCCGAATTCTGATCCCTTGAATCAAGACCTAAACCCCCTAAACCCTAAACCCCCCAAACCCTAAACCCCCTAAACCCTAAACCCTAAACCCTAAACCCTAAGTAGTGGAAAGCATGGTGCTACCTCCGGGGGCCCCGCAGGTAAGGCTCCATGTTGTAACGGGAACCGCGAAGTCCAGACGGGACAAGGATAGAGAGAATGAGTTTCGAATAGCCCTGCATAAATGGCCCAAGCTCCAAAACCCGAAACCCCAAAACGTCAAAACCCCGAAGCCCCACAACCCCAAAACCCCCGTGCCAGCTTGGGAAATTTTCGCCTTGAGGCGAGAGAAGCTGTTGTTGCCATTCAATGTGACAGCAGTATCGCCTTGTGCCATGAACATGCCAAAGAGCGTAGGCGTGCTGAACAACGCCGGTCCCAGTCTTTCTATGATGAGATCCTTGAGGATCTTGGAGATGCGCTCTGCGCAATTGGCCTCGCCCCTGGCTTTCTGCACTTTCTCTCCAGGCATGGCAACATCGGTCCCCCAGCCATCTGCTGGCAGGGAAACCGGTGTCCAATCCAATGGCTCAATGTGAACAGAACAGTCACAGCCCAAAACCCCAACACTAAAGCCCCAAAACCCCAAAAACCCAGAACCCAAACCCTCTGAAGTCCCTAACCCTTAAAACCCAAAGACCCTAACTTCTTAACACCCCTAAAGCCCCAAAAACCCAAGACCCTAACTTCCTAAAACCCCTAAGGCCCCCAAAACCCGAGACCCTAACTTCCTAAAACCCCTAAACCCCCTAAACCCCCTAAACCCCCTAAACCCCCTAAAACCCCTAAAACCCCTAAAACCCCTAAAACCCCTAAAACCCCTAAAACCCTAAACCCTAAACCCTAGAACCCTAAACCCTAAAAGCCCCCAGGAGATCGACACGCCAAC